ATTCTGCCTCCAGAAAGGTGGAGGGGGCAGGGTCACCTCGGGGGTCCGGGACAGAATGAAGCTCACTGGGAAGACCTAGGGCTGTGAGGGGATGCAAGGCCAGAGCCACAGGGCCTCCCCCGCAATTTAAACTGTGACTCCCTTGTCCAGGCCATAAACTCGTTGTGTGCTCATGTATTGCGAAACATCAAAACTCAATCCTTAAGTCGGTTCACCTTAATTTAGAAGGAAATAATGGCGCTTCTACTACTAATTTTGAGGAGTTTGTTACAATCTTGAGACGAGAGGGACTTTCGGTTTCAGTTTCTCCGCACAGGTAACAAAACCCGGTTCTAAGGAGACTGTTATACCAAGCACAACCACTAGAGGGGAGTGCAGACGTGGCTGGAGTCGAGCCGGGGAGGACAGCGGTACTCAGCCCACGGTGATGAAGACGCTCGGTACTAAAAGGAGAAATGTGACGGCGGTACCAGGCTCCTTCCTTGCTTTGTGTCCACACGGTGTATCTGGGGCTGGGTGGTCACGGGAGAAAGGCATGAGGTGGTTTCAGTGGTCGCAGGGCATGTGATGCTGTCCAGCAGGGTACAGGGGTAATCAGTCCTGTTGAGTTGGGGATGCCAGGTCACCAACTTCCCCTGAGGTCCAGCCCGGGGCTCTAACTGAGGGCTGTGGGTGATGGTGCAGACTGCGGGTCGGGACCCTCCTTGGACTATACAAGGACTATGGGCTTCCTCGAAGGTGTTTCTCGAGGATGGCCCCCGGACCTAATGACAGTAGTTCAGATGGACTGCCTGTGTTCCTCAATGCTCCCCTTCTCCTCACTCCTCACAACTCTCACCCCTTAACTTCTTCCTTCTCTGCCAAGATGCCTCTTCCCATCCCCTTTCCAAAAATTCACCCCCTTCCCTATAGAAATAATCACATTTCCACCCCCAGCAATCCCCCAAGCTTCTTAGAAACTTTGCAGCCTCGGGAGTCCACAGCTCTACCACCCCTTAGCCCAACCACTGAGGTTCTACTAAGGGGGAGAAGGGGGATCCACATCACCCCTGTCCCTAAAAGCTGAGATGTTGCCATCAAATGTCCACTGAGCCCACCTGTGGGACAATTGCATCACAACAATGCAACTGCGTGCATGCCTCAGGCTGTATGACTCGGAGCCTGTTTACCCATCTGGGGCACAGGTGGACGAGAACTCAAGGACAGACATATACACGTGTGCTGGACCCAATTTAGGGTGCTAGTGGGCCCCCCAAAGTGCATCCCTTTCCCTCACTGGAGCTCCAAACCAACAGAAAAGGTGAGACAGATGGGGATCAAAATAGCAGCTTTCTTCCTGATAAAAGTGGGATTGGGGGTTGTGGTTTAGTGCGTAACAAAAAAGGGCTCCCTAAAACGGAACCCCAGAACTGGGGTTATCCACGTGGCCTCAGGCTGCTCCAATCAACCACAGCCCCACAGGCCCCTGTCCCTGTGCACTTGACCTTGGAGGAGCCGACAGAGCCCTGGCTTTTCCAGGCAGGACGAGCCCAGGGAGACCCACCAAGGAGCAGACTCACCCCTTCCGCTGGACCCCCAAGCAGAGAGTCTCCCTAGGGAGGAGAGGGGCCAGGGGGACCAGGCGAGTCCCACTGATTGATGTGCCACCCCCTGGAAGGGGACATTGAACTGGGGCCTGGGTGTCCCCACTTAGGTCCCAGCTGCCGGTTCCCTCTCGTTTCTGCATCCACACAGGGTGCCCAGGGTCTGGTCCTCCTGCCCCAGTGGCCACTGTTGCTGCTGCTGCCACTTCCTCCTGCCCTTGAGTTCTCAGGTCCAAGATGTTACCGCTTCATCTCAGGGACAAACCTCTGGTCCCCACATGACTCTCCCAGGGTGCAGACTCAGCCCCACTACTGAATCTGAGAGGAAACTGCTCCTGGTGAAGCTGATGAAGCCTGTCCCCTTGGTGGGTCCTCCACCTTCTGGTCCCTCCTCAATCATGTCCTCTCCTGCTTTCCAGATTTCCAGATCTGGGAGCTGGACTACTTCTGTGACAATAGAAATGGTCCCTGTTCTCAGTGCTCTTGCAGCAGTGAAAAATACCCCAGCATTTCCTTCAAATCAGTCCAGCAGGACTTTCAGGAGTTCCACCTGCTTCTTAAGTTGGTCCTGTCCCTTCCTTAACCCAGACAGATCTGACATTGTTTCCTGGTCAAAGAAACTTTGCTTTCTCCACAGAGGCCTCCTGATTCCCCATAAACCACCACTGCTCTTGCAGAGTATGGTGCCTTCCCAGCTTTCTCCAGCCCGAAAGGAGCATCTCCCCTCCTTCAGCCAGGAGCAGCCCCAGCGTGGGAGTGCCCACCCCAAGAGGGCAGGTGTCTGCAGATTTCCCACCCAGCCAGCTTTTAGTTGGCATTTTGGTGACCCTAAGCAGACCCATGGAAAAGCTGGCACATTTATGCCAACATCCAGCACAGTCATGACCTGAGTTGGCCTGCTGCCCAGGAACAGAGAAGGAGAGAGAGGGGACACCGGAAAAGTGATACCAACTCAACACAAGGTTGACATAGGGGAAGCCATATTGTAAAAAAGAAACCATATTGTAACTTTGAATGACCTCTGATTAACTAACCCAGACATGCTCTGTAGATTTTATGGCCCCTCCCAGCTGCTATAAGTTGATAATTTTGTTCTGTTGAGTTTCTTAGGAATGTGATGACCCCAAGATGGAGAGTCTATGCTGAAAGCCAACATCAATGACAACTGAAAGATCAGGGTATAGGGCATTGCTCCGGTCTCTGACGCATATCCAGTAAAACAAAAGACTTATCAAGAACTAAGACCAGATGTCTGCCCCCTCCTGGAGATCAGATGGAGGCCCCACTGGGATTAGATCTGTTTTTCAGGGACTGTTAAAATTTGGATTGTCTATACTTCTTATCCTTCTGGTCCAATCCTTGATTATAAAATATGTCTTTAGATGTTGTTCCAAAGCTGTTGAGCAAGGTACAAAATTCTAATAATGCAAAATGTCAACCTAAAGCCAGGAACAAGAGAATATTTCCAAATGAGTGCTAAATGGTTTTATTCCTCTAACCCAGATCTCCGCTCCAGTTCAGCGGGAAGTAGCTAGATCGGTCATCACCCCGAATCCCTCAAGAATGAGGAATGACCAAAGAATAGGGAGGATTGAAACTGGCAAAGAGTTAACCATTGATAATTAAGCAGCTAGGAACTACAATTTTTTCCTTTCTGCAATTACTGATTACAGCTTTTAGCTATTTAACCCACCGATTGTTAACTGTGCTGCTTAGGCAATATGCTATCTGACTCCCACCAGGTTCCTATAGATGACACCTCCCTGGAGCCTGGGTCACCATGTTAATGCATGTTTTGAGCTATTTTTCAGGAGTAGAGCTCCTTGTCCACTTCAGGATGGTTGAGACCACCAACCCATCAACTGGGCCCACGCAGATGTCTGATAAGTGATCTTTTGACGTCAGGAGGCTAAAAACTCCACACTCACATCATGCTAACACCACCATTTTGTGATCATGTGTCCTATGAAGAGGCATGAAGTCTGACTACGCTTGTGCACATCATCAATTACCTCACCTCTCCTCACCTCCAATCACCTCTCTCCACATTTCAGACCACTTTGCCCCCCTACCCCCTAAATATCCCTGAGTCTCCATTTTGGGGGAAGCTGATTTGAGACTCATGCTCTTGCTTCCTCACTTGGCTGCCTTTTGATTAAACCCTCTCTCTGCTGCAATCTCATCATCTCAGTGTTTGGCTTTCTGGGCAGTGGGAAAAAATGACCCTGGTGCAGTAACAAGACTCTGGCGTCATCTGTACCAGGCTGTGTCTGGGCCACATGCCCCACAGAGACCAGGAGCAGAGGACAGTCATGCCCAACAGAGGTTTAGCTTATCAGCCCTTCCACCCCACAGAGTGAGAGGGAGACAGAGAGAGAGATCCAGGTGTATGTAGCACCTGGAACACACAGGCCTTGCCCACAGGTAAAGACATCCCCTCAGTGTCCTGGGATCTGTTCCAACCAGGTCGATGTCCACTCCTTTGGGAAAAGAAAGAACAGAAGTGGAGAGAGGGAAGAAAACTTCCCCTGCATTTCCAAATGTAATTTCCTTTTACACTGATGTAAAATATGTCTCTAGGTCACTTCTCATCCTTTCTGGAATAATGACTCAGAAGGTGTGTGAAAAATCCGTGGACAGACACAACCCCACCAAGGGTCACCCTCTCAGGTGGGGTCACCTGCCCTTTCATTTCTAGATCATCTCAGTTCCAACCTCCATCTCCATCCAAAGAGAAGCCTTTGCCCTCTCGGCATTCCAGTGACTTCTTTTGAGGTTTCTCCACACCATTCCTGGCTGCAGTTATGAAGCAGCCCCAGAGTCAGGGTACCATAAACCCCTGCACTGAAGATGTTCACCATGATGTTAACCATAATCACCAACTTGCTCCAGCCTCTGGCCCCAGGGCCTTGAAGATTTCTCTTCTGATTTCTAGGAACACTAAGAACATTCTCCCCAGGTTATGGTGCTGAGCATTTGCGCTCTCTCCAGCTCTGTGTCCACACACTGGGACCTACCTCTGTCAGGTCCAGGCTCTCCCACTGGCAAGAAGATTTGCAATTCCTGTCTTTCCCTCTCCCCAACAGCCATGTCGACAAGGGGAAGGGGCAGGCACCCCATGTAAACTCTGACACCCTCTTAGAAGGCACAGCAGCTGAGGACAGGGGGCTCCATACAGGTGTTTCTGGTGTCTTTGCACAAACAAGTGACTCCTGGGGGCTGGCTCTGCTCCTCTTTCCCCAGCCCTCCAGGCCCTGACTGTCACTGCTTGTTCTGCATTCCTGCTGCGACGTGATCCACGTGATCGCTGAGCACCACAGTGAAGCTGCAGGAGGAGGAAGAGAGCCTCTGCACCGCACACTGAGCTACTTTCACTTCTCTTTTTCCCCATTTGGGCGGAGCTCTCTCTGGGTGAGTTGGTTCAGACTTCCTGCTCAGGGCTCAGCAGCCACCCTGGACCCAGGCTGGGGAGACTGGAGGCTCAGAGGCCAAGCTCCAGTCCAGGCAGGGCCCTGGGGCGGCAAGATGGCCAGTGGGGGCAGCAACTTCAGCGCCAGGTCAGTCTTTACCCCCCTTTCGTTTACCTTTCTCTCTGGCCACGCTGCTGCTTCAGAGGCTGCTGTTTAGACACTAAACTAAACCTGTTCTCTAGACCTGCTTTACAAGAACGCTCACGTGCAATATAATGAAATGCAGGCACATGTAATGAGGACATCGGAGTTTAAAACTGCAGCAGGCCGCCTGCTGGTGTGAGTCCGGTTGCCACAAGGCACGTGACTTTGTTGTTTTATAACTACCGCTCAGCTGTCGGGCCTATCTGAAGTCAGCTGTCCTTTATGAGGCTTTGTGGCAGGATTTCTTCTTCCTCCCAACCTCTGAATCCTCTCATTTTCCTCAAACCTCCTCTACCTTCACATCGGTCATTTCAAGGAAGGGAGTTTAGAGAATATAAAATTCAGGGTAAACCCCTGACTTCTTTTCAAACACTGGGTGCTGGGGTCTCGTACCTGTTCCAAGCGCCAGCCTCGGTCAGCTCTGGGCCTGTTTCCGTCTCTGGCTGGGAGTCTGGGCTGTTCCTCCACTGATCTTGATGAAAGAAAGTAAAAGGAAGAGAAAGGCCCAAGATGCCAAAGACTAGTGCAGGCTGGGTGTTTTCATTTTTACTTTGATTTTTTGTTCTAGAACGGGTTATACTTCTGACAAGGAAAATGGCAGAAATCCTATCTTTTTCTCTAGAAATGGCTCAGAAATAACATTACTTAATATTTTTAATCTTTTGGTTTTTTAATACAAAAGAAATACATTATACATTCTTGTTCATAAAATTTCAGGCGACCCGGAAGTATATAGAGGAACAAAGTCCTGTTCACCAACCGCCCCCCAGCAGCTTCCGTGCCTGGTCCTGCTAAGCATTGTGGGCATAACCTTCCAGATCTTTTTCTATGCATTTACGTATATAACTCATTTTCCTAAATACACAATTTGTGTGCTTATTTTTTTAATAAATGAGATTATATTGTATATGCCATTTTGCATTTCGAGTTTTCACTTATTTTAATAGTGAAAATCATAGAGATCACCTTAGTAATCGCAGAGATCTATCTCACTCTTTTAACAGCTACGTGCTAGTCCACAGAATCGACAGACCATAATTTTTAAACCATTCTCCCGCATTAATGGACATTTAGGTCATTTTCAATTGTTCACTTTTACCAAACAGCTGTGATAACAAGTATATATTTCTTTACATTTTTGCACATATTAGTATATTTGTCTTGTGTCAATAACCAAAAAAGTAGAATTGTTAAGGCAAAGGATACTAATATATACTTGTTTATAGATCCTGCCATGTTGCCTTTCTAAGTGGCTGAACCGCTATATGCTCCTACTAATAGCAAATGAGGTGAGCCACCTCACCGCACCCAAACTTTGCAAAGGTGGTGGATAAGGAGCTGCTTCTTAATTTGCATTCTCCACATTACATGGGAGGTTGAACACTGTTTATTGGCCATTTAAGTTTCCTCTTCTATGAATTGATAGTTTATTTATTGCCAATGTTATTCAGTTGAGGTGATAGTCCTATCTTTAACAATAAAGGAAAATTTGCAAAATATTCTAAAAGTTATAAATATAGTTTCTTTGTCTTTTAACTTTATCTTTAGCCCACGGCGAATCTTCCTTAGCAAAAATAAATAAATAAAAATAAAAAATTAAAGTATAGTCTTATTATAGCATTGGTTTTATAAGGTAGGTGCACCCTTGTTATTATAAATAAATAAAGCCAGGCAGAAAGTTACTGGTGAATTCCATGCACGCCATCTTCTTCAGGGTGGCAGGTTCCATTCTAACTTTACTTCAGGGAAAGTTTCTTCTCTAGTATCTCCAAAAACTTTCTTTTTTGATTTTTGGCTAAAATTATTCTTCCGTTGGCACAACTTTAGCCTTCACAGCTTTTATCTGCCCACTAATACTTTTACCCCTTTTGTTTTCTGTTTTGTGTTCATAATGGTTGTTTCAAACTCTTCGTCCATGACAGTCATTTAATTTTTAGTAGTTTTTTGGTTTCTTGCTATTTCCAATTTTTTTAAGTTGATTGTGTTTATTTTAGGGGTGATCTTAATTTGTTTGTACAGCTCTGCAAGCTCCGCTTTAATCCACACTTGTTACTTTATCGTCCCGTCTTCACACAGCTGCTCTATTTATTTAGGTTTGTGTGATGGTGAGTGCTTTGGGGGTGTCTTCCTCGCCCTCTGGGTTATTCTTCCCGGTTGATTGTGTCTGCGGTTTGGTTTCTGTGTTGCGTTACCTTGTTTTTCACCTGCCTGCCATCGTTCTACAGCTCATGTCACTCATGCTCGAGCTGGGTAGCTCTCCCCTCACCCACTGTTTACACGTCTTCATCTGGGGAGATGTTTTTTTCACATTTCCTTGCTGTATACGCACGTCTGTTTCTGTCTCACTCTTTGCGGTTGGCCTAGGAGAGCCCCTCCTTATACCAGTACCTCACGGTCGTAATGACCACCCTCCACATGAACCCTTGATAACTGGGGAGTAAGCCTTCCATCCTCTTTTCTTCTTCCAAGGCATCTAGGCCTTTGTGTCTCCAAATCAGCTCGTGAAAATCTCGCTGGGATTTTGTGTAGGATTGCCTTGAATCTATAGATCAATCTGAAGTGAATTGACAGCTTCGTGATATTGTGTCTTCTATCTCATTAACATGGTATACATATATTTCTAATTAAAAATATTTTTAGTAAAATTTATGTTTTTCTCCCTAGAGGTCTTGTACTTCTTCTAGATTTATTCATAGAGATTTGATATCTTTATGGTATTACGTCTACATAGTTTAAAATCAACTTTCTAGCTGTTTGTTACTGAGATATAAAAATAAATTGAATCTTTGCCAAACTCTTTTGTTTTTTAAAGATTGGCACCTGGGCTAACAACTATTGCCAATCTTCTTTTTTTTTCTGCTTTTTCTCCCCAAATCCCCCCAGTATGTAGTTGTATATTTTAGTTGTGGGTCCTTCTAGTTGTGGTATGTGGGACGCCGCCTCAACATGGCCTGATGAGCAGTGCCATGTCCACACCCAGGATCCGAACCAGCGAAACCCTTGGCGGCCAAAGCAGAGCACACGAACTTAACCCTCGGCCCCAGGGCCGGCCCCAAACTCTTTTTAATTCTAAAGACTTACATGGAAATATAAGCCAGCCCTGGTGTTCTAGTGGTTAAGATTTGGCGCTCTCACCGTGGCCCGGGTTGATTTCTGGTCAAGGAACCACACATGCCATGCGTCTGTCAGTTGTCATACTGTGTGGCAGCTGCGTGTTGCTGTGATGCTGAAAGCTCTGCTACTGGGATTTCAAATACCAGCAGGGTCACCCATGGTGGACAGGTTTCAGTAGAGTTTCCAGATTAAGACAGACCAGGAAGAAAGATGTGGCACTCACTTCCAAAAAAATTGGCCAAGAAAACCCTGTGAATAGCAGCGGAGTATTGTCTGATAGAGCACCGGAAGCTGAGAGGATGGCACAAAAAGACCAGGCAGGCATCTGCTCTGCTGTACAGAGTCCAATCGACTTGGGAGATATAAATGCATATATACAAATTTACATAATGTTTACATAATGACAGTTTTGTTTCTTCCAATCTAATCCTTATATTTATTACTTCTTTTTCTTGCCTTATTTTCTTGGCTGGGACTTCCGGTGTTATGGTGAATACAAGTAATGATAGTCATCATCTGTGTGTTGATCTCAATCCCAAAGGGAAAGCTTTTGTCGTTGCACAATTATGGATGATGTTTGCTGTAGGTTTTCTTTCCTAATAAAAGAGTTACACAGGTTAAAGAAGTTTTATAGTTGGCATCTGATGCTTTCAATATGGCCCTGTTTTCTGTTGTTTCTGCTGTTCTCACGCATAAAGATTTTTTTTAAATAAACTTTTTACTTTGGAATAATTTTATATTTATGAAAAAGTTGCAAAGATAGTACAGAATTTTCTCTATACTGCACACCCACTTTCATTTCCTGTGATTGATCCTCTTATGTCACCGTGGTACATTTGTCAAAACTAAAAAAACAGCATTGGTACATCACTCTTAACTAAACCCCAGACTTTTTTCAATTTCATCGGTTTTTCCACTTTTGTTGTTTTCTGTTCCAGGATTCAGTGCAGGGTACCACATTGCATTTAGCTACCTTGTCACCTATTCTCTTCTGGTCTGTGACAGTTTTTCAGTCTTTCCTTGTCTTTCATGACCTCAACAATTTGAAGAATACTCATCAGGCATTTTGTAGAATGTCTTTCAATTTGGGTTCATCTTGGTGTTTTTCTCGTGGTTAGACTGGGGTTATGGGTTTTATGAAGGAATACCACAGAGATGAAGTGCCCTCCCTGTCATATTTATCAGGGGATATGTCAACCTGACTTATCACCAGGGATGGTCACCTTGATCATTTGGTTTAGGTGGTGTTTGCCAGACTTTTCTACTATAAAGTTGCTATTTTTCCCTTTCCACAGTCTATTCACAACGATTGTTTTGCTTATTTTGCTGATTATCTTTGACTGGGTATTGGAATTGTATTTTAAAAATTGTTTATGGCGGGGCGGCGGGGGCCGGCCAGGTGGCGCAGCAGTTAAATGCGCACGTTCTGCTTCTCAGAGGACCGGGCTTTGCCAGTTCGGATCCTGCGTGCGGACATGGTACCGCTTGGCAAGCCATGCTGTGGCAGGCGTCCCACATATAAAGTAGAGGAAGATGGGCATGGATGTTAGCTCAGGGCCAATCTTCCTCAGCAAAAAGAGGAGGATTGGCAGTAGTTAGCTCAGGGCTAATCTTCCTAAAAAAAGTAAAATAAATAAAATAAAAAATTGTTTATGGGTAAAATTTAGGCCTGCAGTGGAGGTACAGTCTTTGGAAAGGATTTCTGTTTGCTGGGCCCAGGTCCAGGTGCCTGAGGGCACAACCCGTCCAGGAACACTTTATCACAGGGTCAGGGCCTGAGGGAAGCTGGAGGAACCCAAGTGGTTTACTGGGGAGCAATTCCAGGTCAG